GTCTATATCCTCCTGATGTTGAGGTCTCCACAGCTGGACGCAGAACTCCATGGTCAGCTGGTTTGGAGTTCGGAGTTCAGGCTTGTGTGTGCTTCCATAATGCTCTGTATGCCTTTTCCAAATTTCTGCTAAGTTTAAACAGTATGTCTATCTTTGAGATCCTTGATGTTTTGTCCAACTCTCACATCTGAACTGCAAAACTGCTCCCTGTGCATGAGGCAGAAGGGGAGTAGAGAGGTTACAGCCATAATGTGGAAGGAAAAGATGATGTTTCTAAGTCACCTTTCAAATAAGAGAGGAAAGGATCCTTCTACTCACAGAGCTGAAAGAACAAGATTCGGGTTTTTTTAAAGTTGCTAGGCTGAAGAAGGAGGTAAGTATGATCTTGCCCAAACACAGGAGAAACTCAGACAGATTCCCAAGTGTCAGAAGTGAATGTATTCTCTCCTAGCATTGGTCTTCGTGTTTGTTAAAACCATTTGCATGTAGAAGATACCATGCAGATCTGGTCTGTGTGGGATTTGCTGCCTGAAAGGATGGCCATCATAGATGAAAAGTATGACAAGGTGAAATTTCACAGACCATATGCAAGAGTGTTGCCATAATACTGGAAAGAACCACTAAAATTTAGTATTCTTTAATTGCACACTGAGCCAGTGCAAGCATTAAAATGATGTGAGCATTTTACTTCCGAAAATTTTAAAGGTACCTTTTTTGTTTTTCCCCCCTCTGTTAGATCTGGTTGCACTGCCTGATTTTGGAGCAGGTGCTATGGAAAACTGGGGGCTAATGACTTTCCAAGAATCATCGTTGATGTACCTCCCGAGTGATAAATTCACAAGCAGAAAGGCAATAATTGCCATAATTGTGTCACATGAGATAGGACACCAGGCATGTGGTAAAATATTCTGTACATTTATTTGCCTATGAGGTTGTTTCCTTTGGTTGCTGATGATGCAGTCACTGACCGATTAGAAGAAAAATAGAGACTTGACAATACGGGGTGTGAGCACTAGAGTACTGAAAGACTATGTGATCAGATATTCTGCTGATAAGTCAATATTAAAAGCAGATTCTGTCGTATTACAGGCTGCGTACTGACTAGAAAATACTGTGGGGATGACACAGTGCTCTCTATACACAGTGCACTTAGTTCTTCAGTGGGAAAATTAATGGACTTCATAAGTGTTATATTTCATAGCAGCAGTTGCAAAATATATTAGCTTTTCTGTAAGAAACAGCGTATGGTAGGTAGAACAAAATTAGCATGACCACATTTTATGCCGTAGCTGGATGTTTGTCCCATTTTCGTAGAGATTTTCAAAATTTTTCTTCCTTGGTTTGGCATGATAATGCAGTTTCACTTTTCTATTGACTGAGTTTAATTCACTGTTGTTTGTCAGAGCAACAGTTGTTTGCACTTAGTCAACAAAGTCAGCGAAAGAGTTTAACTTGACTAGTGCACTTGTGTGCCCTTCTGACAGGGTCTGTAATTTTTCAGACCTTCAGATGAGCAGAGTGTTTTTTATCACAGGCCAATAAAACTGACATCAGTACTCAATTTAAACTCTGTTTTAAAACAAGGTTGTAGTTCAGGTTTTTAAAAACTAACAAATAAAATACAAATCTGCAAGTGATCAGTTTTGTGTTAAATAGGAACTGCCAAATATGAGTACATAGCAGCTGTAGTCGAAGTTTTACTGCTTGCCAGGATAGGGATTTGCTGATTTTGGAAGTGGTTATTTCCCCAGGTCTGTTTGTCATTCCCCTGACAATTTTCTTCAGTTAAGAACACGTGAAAATGCTTTTGTAATTGCTTGATAAATGCCCTACTTTTAGTCATAGCCTGATGTGATCTTTTATATATTTAAATTTTATTGGGAAGTGTTCAAAATTAAGTAGAGTAAAAGAATCACATAAAGCACTGACATCCATACACTTGGTGCAAAATTGTAGATGAAACAATTAAAAAATAACTGTGCTGAACCTCTAATTTTTTCCAAGATGCATTTTTTCTACTCAATTTTCACTGTCTGAAGGAATATGGAGCATTTTATTCATTTGATGTGTAGACATTAAATAAAGTTAGTTCAGCACAGGAATATGCATTTAACCTGCAAAACCAAAAACACCAGTCCAAAGAGATGTTGAGACCTTTCTTCTTTCTGTTGAAGTGGTTTGGAAATCTGGTTACAATGAACTGGTGGAATGATCTGTGGCTTAACGAGGGACTGGCATCTTACTTTGAGTACCTGGGAGCTACCTTTGTTGAACCCAAGCTTTCGCTGGTAAGTACTGACACTTACTGAAATAAGCTAAAGTAGCCAAGTTTCAGCATGCACCAAGAAAAGGGAGGTGCTGGAGGTGGGATTTAATTAAGCCACAGTATTAGTAACTTAACTCCCCTGGGAAAGACTGGCAGGTCTTGATTCTTCCCCAGAGCATCTCCTTATGCCGGGGGCTGTGGTCACATCCAGCCCTTGTGCAGCTGGCGCAGAGGATGGCTGGACAGCTGCAATTCTGCAGTGACACGAGTTGGTGTTTTGCCCTAGATCTGTCATGTAGCAAACCCAGCTTTTGCTCCTGGGTCCTGTAGCTGATGGTTTGCCTCCCTGCCTGTCCCAGCTCTTTTCCAAGAATCCCGTACCTTGGGTAACCTTACTAGACAGTGACTACATTGTGCCATTTTGAGTCTGTATACCCCACAGGGTGTGTGGATGTTGGGTTGTAGATAAGGCAAATATAATGCTTATAGCTAATCCGACAGCATGGTAAAACACCTTTCCGTTCTGCCCAGATGGGAATAATCCCAAATCCCATAGTGTATGAGAAAACATCTATCATTACACTCAGACAGGAGGATAGGTGCTGCTAATTGTAGCCGTGAGGTGAGGTTCAGTTGCCTGCGCAGTCATCAATGTCTGTGCACAGTGCCTTCCGCTTCTGAAGAAAAGACAAGCCTTTAGTCTGGGCACACCCGCAAATGCACTCAATCCAGTCTGCATTTTATTTGGCTCAGATGAAATACCATTCGCACTTTCCTATTCTAATTCACCAAAGGTCTTAATTACATGCTTAGTTGGAGACTAATACCGTAATGTCAAACAAATTCTGTCAGAAGGATTTTTAGGTCAAGGGATATGCTAACCACCTACTTTTAACTTCAACATCAGCTCACTTTATTCTCTGTAATACCATATTTTGGTATCACTGAAAAGTGTAAAGGCCACCAAATTTTAAATTGGAAATAAATCCTTGTCTCCTTTGAAATGTTAATATTTTCATTTAGAAGCTTGCCTTTCTAAAAACCAACAATTGCTGTTTTATTTTTGTCCATAAAGTACATTTTAATACTGGGCAGTCATTCCATTTGATAAACCACGGTTAGGTGGTGTGCCTTGGAAATCCAGTGTAAGTCACACAGCTGCGAGAATACAGGACCTTCTTGTGCAGTTTTCTGAGCCATATACATTCACAGAATCGCAGAATGGCTGAGGTTGTGGATGGAGATCATCTGGTCCAACCCCCATCCTTAAGCAGGACCACCTGGAGCCCAGGGCCATGTGCAGGTGGCTTTTGAACGTCTCCGAGGATGGAGACTCCATGGCCTTTCTGGGAAACTTGTGCCAGTGGTCAGTCACCCTCAAAGTGAAAAAGTGTTTCCTGATGTTCAGAGGGAACCTCCTGTGTTTTGGTTTGTGCCCAATGCCCTTGGCCCTGTCGCTGGGCATCACTGAAGGACCCTGCTTCCATCTATCTTTACACCTTCCCTTCAGATATTTATTGATGAGATCCCCCTGACTCTTCCCCATGCTGAACAGTCCCAGCTTTCTCAGCGTTTCCTCAGAAGGGATGCTCCAGTCCATCCATCATCTTTGTGCCTTTTGCTGGACTCTTTGGTAGCTCTGTATCTTTCCTCTGCTGGGATTCCAGATGTGTCCTCACCAGTGCTGAGTAAAAAGGAAGGATCAGCTCAACCTGCTGGAAGTAGCCCTCCTAAGGCAGCCCGGGATGCCATTAGCCTTCCTTGCTGCAAGGACACATTGCCCACGTTCCACATGGTGCCCTTCGTGTCGTGACTTTGTACTTCCCCTTGTCAAACTTCACGAGGTTCCTGACAGCCCATTTCCCTGGCCTGTCCGGTTGCCCTTGGATGGCAGCACAACCCCATGGTGCCACCCTTCCCAGTTCTTTGTTGTCTACAAACTTCCTGTGGGTACACCCTGCCTCATCACCCAGATCATTAATGAAGACGGTGGACCCAATCTTTGCCTCTGGGGTACACTGGTAGTTACTGGCCTCCAGCTAGAGGTTGTGCCCCCAGTCACCGCCCAATTACAAATCAAAAATTTCTATGGTTTAAATGTTTTAAAACTTCAGGGTTTTGATTTTGTAATTATGTTGTTTTCCGTGCTGTCTTAGGACACTCAGCCGGGGGAAACTGAATCACCACCTGACAAAAAGAGAACACTGGTTTACACCAAAGGAGCTATTTTCCCTCCATATTTCTCACTGGTTGGCAGCAGAAATGCCACATAGTTAAGCCTTCCTACCCACAGTAGCTTATTTTTCTAACTTATTGCTCAGGATGGCAGCAGGAGAAACAGAGAATTTAGGAGGTGAATGCTGCTGCTAATGCCACACAGCTGTTAATGAGACTCAGGTTTTCAGTTTCCAGTATTTGTTCATCTTCTGTTAAATATAGTTGACCTGTTTTTCCCTGAGGATTACACTGTAATTGTCCCTGAAAGACCCAAGGCCACATTCTTCTCAGATGTAAAACTTTCACTGATCACTGATGCTGCATGAGGAAAATGTTAGAATTAGCTATACAGTCCCTTTTACATCACAGGAAGGTTGGGGGCGGGGAGGATCTTTCCTTGTTTATTGACAGATTATTTCTATTAGTGCTAATCCCATAATCTATATTCCTTCCTGGGAATAAGTATTTTCTGTTCGGATCACTTAGATTTGTCTTTTTCTTGCAGGAGAAAATCTTTTACGATCATGTTGTGCAACCTGTCTTAAGGGAAGACAATGAAATTGGAGTTCGGTCACTGTCAGAGAGTGAAGAGAAGATCAAAGGATCATTTTCTTTAATGTCTCTGTTTGACAGCATCACCTACAACAAGGTTAAAAAACATAAAATCCTTCCCGTTTCTTGTATATTCTTTACTAATGGTACAAAGTAGGTTTAAGAGGGATTGTTGAATTAAAACGCTTTTTGTAGGTTGTTTTGTCATTCAAAATTTGCTTCTGCTCCATACAGGAATTTATTGGATGTTGCAAATCTATTTGGATGTGAAAGAAATGGTGAAAACACTTTTATATTCCATGAAATATGAAGTTTAACTTTTCTGGAATACAGTTTGAAAAAATTTGCAATAATAGTTCATGTTTTCTCATAGCTTTTTGTTTGTTTGTTTGTTTTTGTATTTCAGGGGGCTTCTATTACCTGGATGCTTTCTGGTTTCCTGACTGAGAAGTTGTTTATCAGAGCCCTTACTGTAAGTTTGAAAAACTAACACCTTCATCTTGATTTATAGCTTAGAAATTACAGTTTTACAAATTGCTATTTGCCTTGCTGGTGTTTTTTCATTGAACGGTCATGAATCTTGATGCTTCTGTTTGTTTCCTTACAGCTTTATCTGAAAGAATTTTCCTTCTCAAATGCTAACCAAGATGATCTCTGGACCCACATTCAGATGGTACTCATTTTATATCTAGTGTTCTTGCTCCTGTGTTTGGCACAGTCCGAAGTTAGGGCATATACTATTTGTAGAAGACTGCACTGGCATTTGGCTACTCTAGTGCTGTCTTTCTCCCACAAAAAATTTGTTTTGCTGGCTCTTTCAGGCAATAATTTCACAAGTGCTTATGTGGCTGCTTTACTGCACCTGAGGCCAGCAGACATAGGTACAAGGAGTAGAGAGATGAGATGGGAAATCAGGGCCAGGTGGAGTTTTGGGTTTCATGGAGATTGCCTACGCTTAAGTGAAATTGCATAGCCTGTTTTTCTGGAGTTTTGCCAGATCAAGAGTGGGTTAGTATCTTTTCAACTTGTCTTTACTATTCAGTTTGTTCGTTGGGTGGTCACTTAAAAATCTTTGTGTGCCGGCATCTTTATTTGAATGAAATTAAGAAATCAAGTCTGGCGTAGCCATACAGGGGCGTAAGTATATTAACACTAAAATGAGCAAAGTTAGCAGTCAGGTTATAAGGGTAAGAAATGTCATCTCATCTGTGTCATTTCTGAAAAGGCTTATGCTCTCTTTATTGTAATGGTAATAATGTCTTTTGGAGGTTGTGACATTATAATGTCTTTTGGAGGTTGTGACATTGATTTTTTGCATGAATCAAAGACCAACAAATTACTAAGCAGCTATATTTTCTCTAATATGCGGTATTTCTCTACCCCTAGGGTGTTGCTGAAGCAATATCAGTATGTACCTGTTTACTGTAAATACTTCTAACTCCTGTTTTCTCTTGCAGGTGGTAGATGCACAGGATGAAGTTCAGTTGCCAGCATCTGTTAAACAAATAATGGATTCTTGGACATGCCAAAATGGGTTTCCAGTTTTAACATTAAATATAACCACTGGCACAATCAGTCAGGAACAGTTTCGTAATAAAAAGAATGAAAACAGTACTGATTCTTACAAGTATGTTTAGTTTGTGTTTTTATTGTATGCTTACAGCCTATTTTTTGCAGTTAGGACATTATGTTTTGACCATTTGATTTGTTAACTTCATGTTTTTTTCTTGTCACGAGCTGTCAAGTCACATCTGTCTGAGGCTGGAGTTTGCAGTAGTTCTGCAAACCGCTTGTTTTGCCAGCAGGTTGCTTTCCTTTGGAGCAGTGGCTTTTCCAGGCACACGATGGCTTTGTAAGTACAGGCACAGGCCATGAATAGGTTGCAGGGCAGGAATTTTGCCTGGCATTTTCTTCTTTCCTCATTGTTGTATAGAAAGCGGTGATAGAAGGAGCTGCCTTTGGTCACCTGCTTTGGAAACTCATGGCTGGAGTGTGAACCTTCACGAAACTCAGCAGTTGTCCTGGACGTTGGGATGCATGGACAGGGCTCATGACTTGAGTTCTCACGCTGGGAAAAAGCGTAAAGGAGAGCAAAACCCAAAGCAGTTTTTTCCCGTCTGCTATTGCTGGTCCTACAAACAGCCAAAGGAAATCCTAATGAGAACCACAGAGTTTCCTTTGCTCCCACGCTCCAGGAATTGCAGAGCGTTAGTCTGTTCAAGGAGTCCCAAGTTACAAATGTTAAATCCTTTACTGTAGTTAGAAAGAGGCAATACCATATGAATGTAAGAAAATCCAGGGCGTGTATGACAGAACTTTTCAGGGTTCTGGAGCTTTTGTCTCTTTTCACCAGGAGTTTTACGTTCCCTCAGAACGGAAATTACCGTTGTTGGGATTACAGTTGTATTGCTTGCCTGAGGATTTTTTTAGTAGACACCCTTCTGAAAAGGAGCTTTGTGTTCTCCAGAAATAGGATGAAATGGTAAATGAGGAGAATAAAATTACGGCCTGAAGAAGGAAAGCCAGAGCACAGAAATAGAGTGGCAATCAAATACCCAGCATCGAACCGTATTTTAGATATGAGTGCCTATTTAATGCCATGGTAACACTTCCTTATCTTAGATGAACCTAAGTGCTGATCCAGCAGGAGTGCCACCACCTGATGAGGTTTTGTGCATCAGAGAGGGGAGACGCTTGATGGGAGTTCCCGTTAGAAGGAACTCATCTGCAATCTGGTTTAACATCAGCTGAAAGGCTTTTTTAAAGCACAAGAATTTATTATATGATCTCTTTTCTGTTGTTTTTGTTAAGCAACACGTGGATTGTTCCTATTTCTTGGATGAGAAACGGATCGTCACAACCCTTAACGTGGCTAGATAGCAGCAGCAGTAAGTAATGTATTCACACACGCTAAAACCAAGATGATAAACACAAACACGACCCTTCCATAATCAGAGGATATGTTTGAATTGAACAGGGGGGATAAAACTTTATTACAGAAATGTCTGTGATTATCTGTTGTGCTAATTTGGTGTTACAACAGCAGTAGATTGTCAAGTAAGTTAATATACTGGACATTTTTATGTTGCATCAAACTTCAGCGTATGATTTTAATAATATGGTAGAATGCACATTATGGGTAGAGATTTCCGCAATAGTTTTGATTTTGTCATTTTTTACACAAATCCAAACTCTCAGCTACTCATGCTTCTGTATTAGCCTTACCCCAGCAGATCCCATTGAAGTTAATGACAGCTTTGGAGTGCAGGTAGGATCTCCGCTGCGATATATTAGAAAATGATGAGCTCAAGTAGTAGTTACAAGACTGAAAAATTAAAACCAGCTGTGCAAAGTGACCCAACATTGTCACACGTGGGCATGGGTAAAAACAGAAGATTAATATTTTCAACGCTGTTTAATTAAATTTATGTATGCAAATTAAATGCAAAAATACTCCTATAAAATGAGCAGGATTTTGAAAAGTTTTAAAGGCTTATAGTAGAAAAGTGAGTTTATGTGAGAAAATTCAGTTTTCTCACCTCAGTGCTTTCCAATGAACAGCTATATTTTTTTTGAGAAAGAAGAATTGTTATCATTACAATAGGGTAATCATCTTTCTTTGGCAAGTCAGCCCTGAACTCCACCAGGTTTTGAATCAGTTACAAGGAGATGCAGAGTCTTTATCCTTCCTGAATTCTCCCAGCTGCCTCTGAGCTAAAGGGTAGGAGCAAAGCAGGTCTTCAGCCTGCCGTTTGCCATCTCAGGGTGCTCAGTACCTAAGGGGTCAGGTGCTTGTGGAAGTTCTTCTGCCATGCAGAGCGGAGATTACAAACTGAGCTTTCGGGGGATGCTGTTTGAGTCCAGCCTCAGACTGGTATCTCAGATCTCAGAGGAGCACCAAGGCCATTGTTCGTAAGTGCAAGGGAATTCAACAGTGCTTAGAAAATAAAATTACACATTTTAATGTCATTTTACAGAAGTGTTTCCCGAAATGCAAGTGTCGGAGTCGGAATATGACTGGATCCTGCTAAATGTGAATTTAAGTGGATACTACAGGGTGAACTATGATCAATTAAACTTAAAAAGATTAGCACACTTGCTTGAAAATGATCCAAAGGTAAGATCATATCTCTCAAGCTTATAAACAGACTCTTTCCATGTATTTTTCTCGCAGTTCTTGCCAATAATCACATTGATGAAAACCTGGACTAATGAGAAATTCACCTATCACGTAAGAAGAAATGATCTACTGTTGCACCACTAAAGTCACTGGCAGCCTTCCGTAGTGGAAGAGGCACAAGTGGTTACGCATAATCATGAAAAATAACTTTACATCAGATGGCATTCTGTCTTCAAAGTTGTCTTAACAGCTTGTGGTTCTTCCAATCTCTGAAATTTGGTTCAAAGGGTTATCGGTAGGGATGTGTGACTGAGCTTTATCTTGTTAGGTAACCATGAGGAAAGAAAGCTGGGAGAAAGCTTTTTATTTCCACATTTCTTCAAACCATGGTATTTCTGCCAGTGAAATTTGAAAAAAAACCCATCATCTGACTTGGGGTTTTTCTGGTTGTTTTTGTGGGGTTATTTTTTGGCACATTATTTTCTTAGAGGTTCCAAATAGTTCTACTTGGGCTCTTCCAGCCCTCTACAGAGACTGTAAGAGTAGATTTCATCCCACCTCTGACTTGCCACAGCTTGGGCTGAAAGTGAAGGTGGTACCTATACGTGTGGCTGTGTATGGGGCTGCATAGTATTCAGTGTGGGACGGCTCCAAGGTGGGCCAGGGACTCCAGTAGCAATGTCAACTCACTGTTTTTGGTCACAATGGTGAGAGAGTTTAAGCCGTCAGCGTAATAGAAGTCAGACGACTTCTCCAGAAGGTCTGGACATGAGGTTGATCGGAGCACGTGGTGTGGTTAAACCTCTCAGGACACACCAGCTTCCTTTCTTCCAGGCTTTTCCCTAGCACAGTGGACCTAAGGCAGCAGGAAATTATGCGTATGCTGACCAGGGGCCGTTTTTTGGCACCAGCCGGTGGGAAGGTTTACGTGAGCAGAGGCAGTGATGAAAGGGCATGGAAGCAGGGAGGAGACGGGGAGGGTCCAGCAGTCCCCGTGAGAGCATGAGCTCTGGGCTGGGGCTCCTGCACAGCTCTGCCTCGGCCGTTTAATTCGTGATAGTGCCAGACACCCCGCTCTCGACTAACCTCAGCGTGTATTCTGAACTGAAGCCTCAAAAGGAAAAAACGTACCAAAATGATATAACTACGGTATTTTTAGGACATGTAGCTGCGTGAGCTGCCACAGGAACAGCTACAAAACCACGGATGAAATGCGGAGTAAATTTAATTTTGATGTCTCACGAACAGGGGATCCCTGAAGCAGCACCTGGGCAGAGTGCAGGCATCGGGCACCGTGGATCTCAACCCTTGCTAGATTACCAAACCTGCCGTTTTCTCACGTCTTTCAGGGATTCACACAGCACAGTGGTACTTTCAGAGATCTTTCCCATCTCAAGCATGTTTGATAATCCACCTTTAGGTGGATTACAGGCCTATACTATCTAAACACAGAGGTGCTACTTGTGCAAGACATGAAGCTAAACAACAATTAGTATAATAGGAGGTTTTCTACACCTCAGCTGCCAAGTCACCTGAGCATGTTTACAGTCCTCCTTGCCAATCTTCTGCTTGGCAAAAAATATCAATTTTCCCACACCAGCATTTCTGTACTTTAATTTTCATTACAGCGTGCAAGTAAGAGTGGTCTTGAAACTCCATGCTTAATGTACTCTAATTGTATATTTATACATATAAATGTACGATGTAGCTGTGTATTTATATATATAAATATGCCTAAAAGCACATACATAAATTCAGCTTAAAAGGGAGGATCCATCTTACAACATTTTGTAGAAGATTTTGCCTCAGAAAAACTGTTAGGGGGCTTGTCCTGTCATTCTGAAGCATAGTAGAGCTTTTTTTAAACTCTTAATGACATGTTCAGATCTATTAACGCAAATGCTTTCTGCAGGCTATTCCAGCTGTCAGCAGGTTCCAGCTGATAGATGATGTTTTTGCACTCACACAGTAAGTACGTTTCGGTATACAAGTATTTAAAGTGTTCTATGACTTATATTAAGTATATGTTATGGAATACAGTTAAGTGTATGTCATGGAATATGATTAAACTACATGATTGCATTCAACATTGCTACTTCTCCTTTGTTCATTCCCACCCGCGTGTGCCTCATAAGAACAGGAGCTGTTTTGACAAAATGGTGGGGGAATTAGGTATTTAATCCATTCTTCTGTCACTGCTGAGTGAATTCTTTCCTTTAACTTTGTTGTAACTCTTAGGAAATATTTTAAATAATGTCACTGTCATGAGTTTTTTAGGGACTGAAAGAGATTTGTAGTATGGGAAGAAAGATTCTGAACAAACATTCTGAATTTTCCTGAATTTATTCTTGGATCTCTCAGCTGTGCTGTCCTGCATCACTCTTAATACCTCTTTCATTTCTCTTGCTGATGGATGACTCAGTTTCATGTCTGTGGTGCTAGAGAGGTTGGGAGCTGAAGAATAATAGAACCACAGAATGGTTTGGGTTGGAAGGGACCTTAAAGACCATCCAGTTCCAACCCCCCTGCCATGGGCAGGGACACCTTCCACTAGACCAGGTTGCTCCAAGCCTCATCCAGCCTGGCCTTGGACACTCCCAGGGATGGGGCATCCACAGCTTCTCTGGGCAACCTGTCCCAGTGCTTCGCCACCCTCTTTGTGAAGAATTTCTTCCTGATACCCAATCTAAACCTCCCCACTTTCAATTTAAACCCATTACCCCTTGTCCTGTCACTACAGGCCCTTGTAAAAAGTCCAGCTTCCTTGTAGCCCCTTCAGGTACTGGAAGGTGCTGTAAGGTCTCCCTGGAGCCTTCCCTTCTCCAGGCTGAACAAGCACATCTGTGCCTCAGACCTACCAGAGGTTCCAAAACCATCACATGTCTGTGATGTGGGGGCTGAGGGATGAGGTGGACAAAGCATAGTGCCCCCCCTCAGGGCCTGCGGAGGTAGCTCTGAGAGGAGGAAGTAACGATTCCCATTCCTCCTCTCGTACAAACGTCCTTTCTCCTAAGAGAGCTCAAAACTAGTATTTAAGGAGTAACTGTGAAGCACAGAACTGTGCTCCTATGTAAGTACCCAGGAAATGTGTCTGTTCTGGTGGAGAGGGGCTTGAATTGGAATTTCATTGGAGGA